CATAGACTAATGCTAACATTGCACTAATGACATTTATTGTAATCCCAATTTTCATCTAAAAGGTCTCATGATTATTGTAAGCCCAAAGGTGAATGTTTTGGAATGTATGACGACTACTTTTGAGACTTCTGAACTAGGTCTGTCAAGCAATTAAGAAATAAATCACAGTTAATTATGCAATTAAATCACAGTTAAACAATAAAATACCATTTATTTAAATATTTTGGATGTTTTCTACATTTTTGTATATTTTATTTCAATTACAAAACACAGAATGTAAAGTGTACAGTGCTCACTTCCTATGTATTTTTTATTACAAATATTTGCATTGTAAACTCCCCCCACAGCATTTTTCAATTCATCTAATACAAGTACAATTGTGCAATCTTTTTATCATGAAAGTTGAACTTACAAATGTATATTTAGGTACAAAAATAACTGAATTTGAAAACAAAACAATGTAAAACTTTAGAGCCTACAAACCACTCATTCCTACCCTTTGTTCAGCTAATTACTCAGACAAAAAAGTTTGTTTACATTTGCAGTATTTAATGCTGTCCACTTTTTATTTACAATGTCGTCTGAAAGTGAGAATAGGTGATCACATGGCATTGTTGTAGCAGGCAATGTAAGATATATATGTGTCAGATGTGTAAAAGATTCATATGTCCCTTCATGCTTCAACCACCATTCCAGAGGACATGCGCCCATGCTGATGATGAGTTTGCTCAATAATGATCCAAAACAGTATGTATCAATGCATGTTCATTTTCATAATCTAAGATCAGATGATACCAACAGAAAGTTGATTTTATTTTTTGGTAGTTTGAATTCTATAGTTTCCACAACTGGAGAATTGCTCTTTTAAGACTTCTGAAAGCATGTTTCAACTTCACATTCTTGGAACACACTTCAGATTCTTAAACTTCGGATTGAGTGTTGTAGCTATCTTTAGATATCTCACATTGATACCTTCTTTGTGTTTTGTCAAATCTGTAATGAAAACGTCCTTAAATTGGACAGCGTATGCTGGGTCATTTGAGACTTCTAGAACATGAAATATATGGCAGAATGTGGATAAAACAGAAGAGAAGGCATTTAATTCTCCTGCAAGGAATTCAGTCACAAACTTAATTAACACATTTTTAAAGGAGTATCATCAGCATAGAAACATATCCTCTGGAATGGAGACTAAACCATGAAGGGACATGTGAATTTTTAGCATTATCTGTCGTGTATTTATCTTGCAATGCCAGCTACAAAAGTGCCATACAAGTGCCTGTTCTCACTTTCATATAACATTATAAATAAGAAGTGGGCAGCATTGCCTTGTGTAAAGATAAACAAACTTTTTGTCTTAGCAATTGACTGAACATGAAGTAGGACTGAGTGGACTTGTAAAACTTTAGAATCTACATTGTTTTGTTTTTTAGTTCAGTTATGTAAAAAATACATTTGTAAGTTGCACTTTCATAATAAAGAGATTGCACTGCAATACTAATATGAGAGGTATTGAAAAATACTATTATTTTTGTTTATCTGTATCAGAGGCTGTAGCATGGGATGGCAGGTGGGAGACAGTCTTCAAGGGGAGCCAGTTGAAACACCAGGTCCCCACACACCAGCTCCCACCTGCTGCTGCCTCTGTGGCTGGTGAGCCCAGGCCTGCCATGGGCAGAGGCTGCTCTGTGGCAACAGCCCCTGTCTGTGGGGGGAGCAAGCTCCTCGCAGACAGGGGCTGCACCAGCATCCTGCCTGTTGACCCCCACCCTGTACTTCTGCCTTTGATACAGTGCAGGGAGGAAGAGGAGTTGGCTCTGTGAAATCAGTGCTTGTGAGGAGCTGGCTTTTAAGCTGGGTTCCCCTGAGCACCGATACCTGCCTGTCTCCCCACCCCTGTCTCCCACATGTACTGGCTCCTGCCTGCCCCGCTCACCCTCTGCGCTGTTGCCTCTCTATCAGAGGCAGTAATGTGGGGATGATAGGGGGCAGACAGCTCTATGGGACTGGGTGCTCATGGGGAGCTGTCTTAAAAGCCAGCTCCCCACGGCATTGGCTCCCACCTCCCACCCTTGCTGCCTCTGATGCATCCAGAGCAGGGGAAAGTGTGTGTAGTAGATAGGGTTAACTGACAAACCCAGTCTTATTGGTTAATTATTAACTCAACTATATGTTAACATCCCTAGATGAGACCTAATCAGATTGGTGTAGATTGAAATAATTACTTCTTACGTTTTATTTATAACACTCTTGCTAGTAGGGATGTGAACAGGTAACCAGTTCCTTGGGAGCAGTCCCCAGCCTGTAGCCTGCCATGGGTGGAGGGCTGCTTCAGCCATCAGAGCCAACAGCAGCCAATACAGGGGCTAGGAGCAGGAGCTGGACTGGTGAGATCCTGCTTAGTTGGTTTAACTAGTTTACTGATTAACAGGGCTTTTACATCCTCACCTGCTACACATCCAAGAATATCCTTTTTGGTTTGGAACAATGTGACATCACTGTCTCATGTTTAGTTTGTGATCCCCTAACCTTCCCCCCCCCCCCCCAGCTCTTTCTGAACTATTACTTCCGAGGCGATCATTTCCCATTTTGTATGTGTGCAACTGATTGAATCTGAGGCCAGAAGAGACTACAAAAACAAAACCCAGGCCAAAAAAAGACAACTAATATGACCCCTTGCCCATCACAGGCTGGTAAACCCTACCCAGTTACCCCTGGATGTAACTGAAGTGTTAGTAGCTGTATGACACTAAACTAGCATGCACTACAGGCCCCTAAAGTGGCAGGAAATCAGTTTGGTGAGACATCATTCAGATGCACAAGAACTGACCCAATTTATGTGAACTTCAACCACCATATCAACCAGATTATTTTTTAAATTGAAAAGTCCATTTAGGACGAGCAGGAACCTTCCGTCACCTTGTCCCTGTAATCTGTGCAAAACCCAAGTTCTCAAACACAAACCAACTGTAAAGAGAGGGAGGCAACACCGCCTCCTCCACCGAGAGCCCCCCCTCGGCCCGCCCTTGCTCACACGAGGGGACGGTGGGTTCTCCCAGGCGCTGGCCAGAACCTGTGAAACGGATGGGCTGGGTCAGTTTCCTGCTGCTGCTGCTGGGGGTGGGGGGACCGGGAAGTCGAGCAGGAGCAGCAGAGGGAGGACTCACAACTGAGGGGGCAGCAGGGAGAGGCCCAGAGACCGGCCAGCTCTGCTCTGCCCTGCCCCAGGGCTTCCTACCGGCAGCTGCAAAGGGCCCCTCCCCAGTGTGGCGCCCGGTCAGCAGACGCCTGGCAGAGGTGGGGAGTGGAGTGACGGGCGGGGCGGATCATTCCTCCCTCCCCCAGTGACCGGGCTTGGCCCCCGGCCCGGACAGTCGGGGCAGTTCACACCCGGGCTCGCTCACCTGGCTGCTCCCGGGATCACTGTCCCTGGCCCGCAGCGACCTGCGCTTCTCCCCGTCGGCCGGAGGGCCCGGCGCTGGCCCTGGGGGCGGGGCCGGGGCCGGGGCTGGGG